CCTTGCTCTGCAAAGCAGCTATCCAACAGCTCTGCAAAGCTGTTGTTTCCTTCTGTGTTTGTGATTGTGCATTTTTTTTTTCCTAGGAACCAAATATCTGACTATTCTGTAAATGATTTGACTTTTAAAGGCACTGTAAGGCACAGGACTAAATACCCAAATATTCAATGTGTACTTTCACTAAAAATGTATGCTCTAAAAATGATTTTTAATTCCAATTTAAAAATGCTGTATAATATATTCTGGCTACTGATATTCGTGATCATGCAGTTTACAATACCATTCTATTTGTCACACAAGTAGCAAAAGCAAGGAAACTCTTCTGGTCTTGGCAGTGAAAATATTCTAACTCAACTTGGAGAGTAATGCTTCATTCTGTGGATAAAATAAGACCTTTCACTTTTATTTTGATCTTCCCTTTTTTCTTCTCTTCTTATATTTTGGATATTGGCAGCTTCATAAGACAAAAACAAAATGTTAAAAAGAACAATTAATTGTATAATTTTTAATTAAACACTCAGGGGGATAACCAGTTGCCTAATTTATTTACCACCATTCCATTTGTCCTATGACAGTGTGTTTACCCACAGTTAAGGATTATCCATAAAGTTCAATTATATTTACTCAATTTCCTATCATCAAGATTTATACATTATAATACGTAAAGCTTCCTTTTTCCTTGAACTTTAGATACATCATTAAACAGATTTATTTCATAGGTAATGTCTTCCCAAATTTTGAATATATGTATTGTATCTGACAATCAGGTTATGAAAAACTGCTTATATTTCTAATGAATAGACTATGAACGTGCCCATAATGTTGCTTGTATATTTTTACAACAGATAAGAAAGTTTAGACTTGTTTTATGTTTGGTTATAATGAAGTTGAGAGCCTTGAGAGTTGAGGGAGAAACATAGGTAGAAGTGCCAACAACAAGATAAAGGCAGTCCAGAGTGCTTGATGACAGAAGCAATGGCACCCAGACCCTCGGTGCCCTCTTGGAAAGCCTGCTGCAATTGGCCTACTGAAATTAGCACTTACTGAATATCTTATTCTCCAATGCGTCCATTGAACAAGATGTCCTTTCCTGTCCTTTTCATATGAAAGATGAAGCTCTGCTTGTTTGAATCAATGCATATCTCTGAGCGGCAATATTTCAAGGTTCAGGAGGCTGTATATATAAACCATTTTTATCCATGTAGTACTGTCATACTTTCCGCAGATGATACTTTTGGGAGTACACTATTGAAACAGATTATTTTTAATATGCAATAAGAAAATAATAATCAAAATAAATATATAAAAAAACAAAATAGACAGTAAAAAATAGTAGCAACATAAGTCTGTGAAAAATTATTTGCTATCTCATACCACATGTCTTTTGAATTCTCTTATTTATGCCTCAACAACATCCATTTTTAATTTGTCTTATACACTTAACACTCTCTGAAATAGGTTTTATTTTGTTTGTTTAAAGAAGCCATTTGCCCAGAAATGCTAAAACTCTTAAAATGCTCTGTCTGCACAATAGGTGATTTTAGCAAGCCAGATATGCACAGTTAAGCTGTGCTTGCAGAATTGTTTTTCTTAAAGTGCAACCAATTGACCATATACCAGCACTAATTTGTTTCTAGCCAGTAAGGCATGTGCACATGTTGTCCCATACAACAGTGATTGCAACCAATATGGACAGGGTGCTTGTTTTTATTCTCAGTAAAGGAAAATTTAAATGCAGCAGCATGCCTCAGCTTAGAACCACATATCTCCAGACTCTGCTTTCTTTCAAAGACAAATTTTCCATTTGCCCTGCATTCAGTTTTACCCTTTTTTTTTTTTTTGTCATCAAACAAAGCTTATCCTCCTAAGAATGTTCTGGAAAAATGACTTAAAATCACTCTGCTACAAAAATCTTTTAAAAGTCTACATTAATACCCTAACGAAATGATAATATACATCTGCTTATGATATAAAAATACTCTTTACGATACTCTCAAAGTAATATTCTTATTTAGAATTTTGTCAGACTTTAGACTCTCACAGGTGCCTTACAATTCCTTCTTAAAATAACAATGCTAAGAGGGCAGGTGGTAGATTTCTAGGACATTATTATATTTCTTCAGGCATTTAGCTGGCAGCCTGGTTTTCATACTATTTTCAGTCCTGGGAAACCATAATTATCCTGAAGCATGCTACTTACACTGTCTTATTTCTTAATTACAGCAGTGACATGATATAAATGCATACTTAATGGGATCAAATGCATATTATTTTGTGGTGATTATCAAGAAGTTCTCATGACAACAGTGGCAATTATATGGTCATCAACTACTGATACCATGCTATGTTACAGAAACTCTGTAACTAAGTCCCGCCAAGAGGGAACTTTCTATTTGAGATAAAAGAATTTAAGGGTGAGAGATTGGCCAATTTGACATTGGATAGTGTTATGTTTATATAATTTATCTAGGTAGAAATTTAAGTTAAACCCCTAAATATTAGTTGATACAATGATTTTACTTGAGCTTCACATGGAATCATTTAAAATTTTTAAATGTTTTAAATTTTACTTGAGATTCCATATGAATCTCAATTAAAATCATTGTCAACTAATATTTAGAGGTTTAACTCAAATGTAAAGGGATTAAGAGGCTTAACTTAAGGGGTTTAACTTAAATTTCTACCTAGATAAATTAAATAAATAATATTTTTAAAATATCTATTGTCTTTTTTGATGATTCAAATAAAATATTTGAATATATTCCAAGGATAAAAATGGAATAGAAATATGATAGCAGTGATATTGTCTTCAAAGATAAATTTGCAGCCTATTAGTAATATTCTTCTCAGATGCTATAATTCACTGTCTTAAAAGATTTCATTTAAGGTTTCCAAACTATTTTTTTCATTCCAATGTAAAAAGAAAAATAAAAACTTTAAGCTGCCAAGATAATACTTACATAGTTTTCTACTGCCTTCTATAAAAATATGTTCTTTGTCTTGCTTTTTTGTTGTTGTTGAAAAGGGCAAAAGGAAAAAATGATGGATGTCAAACTCAATGTATATACATGTTTTGGCGAAAGTTTCAGTTACATGTCGGAATTGGGAATCTGGCTGCCTGGGTTTAAATTCCTACTCTGCCACTGACTAGATGTAGAACTTGAACAAGTTGCTTAACTGCTCTGTGCTTCATTTTCTTCATCTGTAAAAGGAGACAATAGCAGTAGTTACTTGTAACAGCGTTGAGAGGATTTAATTATTTCATCTATGTGAAGGGCTTGTAATCCTGCTTAGTACATAGTAAGCAAGCACTATATGAATTTTAGCTATGATTTTATGTAAGTTAGGGACATTAAAGGCACATTCTCTTCTCTACCTTCAACCATGATGAGGTGTGACTTTGATCATTTTAACAGGTTTCCTTCAGATATTTTTTTCAGTATTCTAGTATGACACATAATAGAGAATGTGTTTTCTACAATAAAAAGGGCATTCAAACAATGAATTGATATCTATCAGATTGGTCAGTGTAATATTGATCAGTGACATATATGCCTGTATTTGTTTAAATGATTCCATATGAATCTCAAGTAAGACCATTTTATCAACTAACGTTTAGGTGTCTTTAACGCATAGAGGGGTTTTAACTTACAGTGCCTTGCCAGAGTAGATTTTCTAAATTCTGGTACAAGGTAATGCTTCTATTATTTTTTAAGATAAAAGACCTCCTCTTTAGACATTTACAATTATCCAGTGACATATTAGATCATGGGAACAGAAGGTCTGCGTATAGTCTTTATTGCATGGCTAATATCTAACCAGGTGTCAATAAAATTAACATTGGAATAGTTCTGCAAACCCATTTTATTTCCAAATAACCATACCAAGAAACATAAACCCTTAAAAAAAGTGTCAGCGAGTTTTCATACAAAATATTAGCCATGAGACACTTGACTTTTCTTCTATATTATTTTTCTGTTCAGCTTCAGATGTTACATTTGTTCTAATATTATTATTTATAACCTTATTTTAGCCTTGCATTTCTAATAAAGTTAATAAATTATTTCATTATAATATTTGGGTTGTTATAAAACATTTACAATATAGATCAATACAGTAAATAGTAAAATGAATTTTTAAGATAATTAAATTTGAAAATATTATGAGATTAAGGAACAAATACAAAATTATGCTTGTCACAAAGTAATGAACTCTCTTTTTTATGAGTTGCATAAACAATCTCTGCAATTTAAATCAGAATTTTGCAATTTCTCTTTTATTTAGTATTTTTTAAAATCCCTGCTGCAATGCCTAATTAACTAAATATTAGATAATGTTTGTAATAACATTTGAATTTTTGGTTGCTCTTTCAATACCAAGTAATCTAATTTCACTTTTTCTTTGTCTATGATACACAAAAGAACAACACTGAAATGCCATGATATTTTTAGGGTTAATATTGGGGTATGAAAAGTTGTAAAAGGATTAATGAATGGGGAAGAGTTTCTGGCTAAATGCAATCAGTTTCTGTGCAAATATTTACAGTCTCTACTGCAATAAAATTTGTTTAATAAGACCACAAAGAAACACGTTTTCTTGAGTCTGATTCTATTTCAACCTGTACACATATCTACACCAGAAAAGTTCTGGAAAATTTGTTTAATTTTAGAACAGGTCTAATATTAGTTCTTCACTGGTCTGAAAGTTACTAGATTGAATTTGATGGTATTTGTTCCACAATAAGCAAAAGTGAGATGCAAAGTAACACTATACTTCTGAAGAACAGTGAGGAAATGACACTCTCAATTTCAATTTTAATTTTAAAAGTGAGTTTAAGTGTTATTTTGTGATTAAAATTAAATGTGTGGCTTTCCACTTAAAAAGATCATTGTACTTCTTGTGAAATTCCAAAGTGAGGCGAAGTGCTGCCTGGGGCTTGTACTGCTACTTTTGAGCTTAAGCATATGATATTTTTGTGGTCATTTTTATTTATCTTTCAGATCAGCATTTTCATGACCCATTTATCAAACTATGGAAATGACCGCCTAGGGTTGTATACCTTTGTGAACTTGGCCAACTTTGTGCAGAGCTGGACCAACCTGAAATTGCAAACTCTGCCTCCAGTGCAGCTGGCCCACAAGTATTTTGAGCTCTTCCCTGAGCAGAAAGACCCTCTATGGCAGGTAACATTTAACATTCTCTCCTGGGGTGGAAGGAAAGAAACTAGCAATTTGTGAATGTATAATTTGTGTTAAGAACTCTGCTGGACATATTAAAACTGGAATTTAACTGCAAATCCTCTTTTATACAATAGTTTTATTCTCTTCCTCAACAATTTTTGCTTATTTTATAAATTGCATTTTTTGCTTGCTTTTCTGGGTTTTTGTTTGGTTGGTTGCTTGGTTGGTTTAAAATTTTTGCTTTGAAGATGTTGTTTTATTGTTGGTGTCTCCTCCAAGCTAATCATTTTAATTTGCATGCAGTGTGAGCACTAACTAGCAGTAAAATGGTTAGACAGTAGATATCTAGAGAAATAAAAACCTAGAGCCACGGGAATCTAAGACTTATAATTAGACTTTGATATGTATATGTACAACATTGTGTATATAAGAAAGGAAAAGCAATTTTACCTTGTATCCATATAGAGTTAATCTCTCAAGCCTATCTTCTCTTTTCTTTAAATGTAACAAATATTTCACTAACAGTAGAACTACTGAAAAAGAGAATTGTCAGTGTTAGGATTGTTTTTACTAATAATTCAACTTCATATGGGGCCACTTAGCCTGGATGCATCAAATGTAAACTATCTGCTTCTTGGCAGTTATCTAGGACAATGTTGCCTCCCATTTTCTTGCCTCTTTATGCATCAGATTACATCGACCCACAAAATCAATAGGCTGGCTGCAGAGAGCAGATCAGATAGTCCCCTGCCAAGCAGTCGGTTGAGAAAGTAGCATCACCATTAATGAGAAATTACTGTGAAACAGACTTTTTGTCATCCTCTTTCCCTCTCTTCAAGACTATTTGTTTCTCTTTGTTTCATAAATCATATTACATGCCACTCTCTGTCTACACTGTCAGAAATGCATCCAACACATGTTCATTGTCTATCTGTTATGTGTAAGGTAAGGCTAGATGTTCTAGGGCATGCAAAGAACAAAATACATTTTTTCTTAAAGCCAGTGGAGAGATTTCTCATTATTCACTATCATATGTTTCAAATGTGTTTTAAAACTGATTGCTATCATATGTCATATTATATTCTGATAATTTATTAAGCAGCTTTTTACTATTTGTGTTTACATTGAACTACACATTCTATTTACCATTCCAATAAGTTACTTGACCATCTACCATTTGATATGCAATTTAGAAAGACAGATAAATAGATAGAAGCATAATTATTATGAGCATATATCCACACACAAAATAGAATTGTATAAAGACAAAGCATGTGTCCCACAAATGGTGGTTATTCAAAAGATCTCACACACTTTTATGAAATTGATAAATTATTGATGGTAAATCAATTCTTTTGTCACAAATGTTTATATAAAATATATCTATAATATTTATGGTACAGTAATAGTAAAAATCAGACAAATTAACAAAGATTTTAGACAGCTTACATACAAAGAATCCTTCAATGGCCTCCAGCTCCATCTCTACTCTTCCTCTATCTGTAGAAAAAGGAAAAAGTTTTTTTTAAATGATGAACTGAATTTCTTGATATTGTTTGAACTTTTTAAGATAATTGTATTTATTAATATGTTTGGATGTCAGTGACACTTTTCTTAAAAAATAAATATAATCAAAGATATGCCAGCTCCAATATGATTTGGAAAACATGATGATTCTAAGTATTGATTGAAGGTTTGTTAAATATGGAATACAGTGCTGGTAGATTAGGGGTGTAAATGGAAATCCGAAATTAAAGTATGGGATTATTCTTTCAGAAATCATATCATTCTTGGAAGATATAAGAAATATATATTTATATATAATTTGCCAGTGCTGATAATTTTAATTTCACATGATATCATAGGGGTAAGTTCCTTGGAAGTTCATCATAACAGAGAGAATAGCTCAGAAAAGATAACGTAGAGTTTGCAAATTTTCATCATTGCTGTTGTTTATATATGTTTAGGAATTTTTATACAATTTATCAAAATATAGTTTTCTATAAGAGTACTTAAATGATACATAAGCAAATGTTTTCCTACTGAAAGACTCCCTTTGCTATTATGTGAATTATATTATTTATATGGTTACTTTTCACTGAAACTTTAAAGTTACAAACATTTTTGTTAACTAAAAATCATATATTCTCAAATATATTTAAGAAGAAAAACAAGGAATAGAAAATAGAGTAGTTAAGTTAAAGAGAGAATTATTCAGATACATGAGATTTTGAGAACAGTTGACTTACTGCAGCAAATCCAATAAACTTCGCCAAACACATCGTGTCCAAAAATCTTCAAGCTGTGAAGTAACAATAAAGTGCATAATACTGAGTTTGTTTCCCTAGTGATTATCTCTTCTTTTCATATTCATATCTATAATAGGCCATTTAAAATAGGCATTGTCACCCTTTTCTCTATAAAATATGAACTTAGTTTTATTTTACTTAGCATCAATTGGTAGGTTTTTTTATGGCCCATTCATCACAATGCTAGAGAGCTAGAATAGATAAATATAGTGTGTTTCTGTTATTGTTACAAAGTGTCAAAATAAAACATTAAAGTGCTTTTTTGTATTTACCAGTGTGACTTCTTACTCAGTATATTTCATGTTTAAAACTAAGTCAACCATTATCTTTCTTTAGATTTTTCAATTCACACATTCTTGTTACCACAAATAAAAGAAAAAGTGAAAAATAATAATATTCACATCTATTTAATTTCCTTTGGTTCCTCGTGTAAATTTTCATTAGCACCAACTACCGTATATGTGAAGCTGCTTTGTCACCTAATTAAAAACTGCAATATGAATATCTGTCAATGGGTAGCCTGATAAGTACGGCACAAAATGCATTTGTGTTCATCTCTCACTGAAAGTTGATTCTTGCAAAGGTGATTAATATGGGAATGTGTACTGAGGACACATATGAAATGCAATCCCCAGACTGTATCCTTGTCAGTTTAGTCCTTAGTGTGTAAGATTCTTAAAATTGTACTCACTGGTGTCTATTAATTCATGTCTCTTATTATTTTGGTAGAATAATCACTATTATTTTGGTGAAAGAATAAGGTTTCTTTCTTTTTTGTTTTTGTTTTTTATTTATTTATTTTTTGCTTTTTTTTTTTTTTTCCTATAATTCTCATTATAGGAACCAAAACCACAATATGGAGGAAGTTACAAGGTCAGATTCTTACACATGAACTAATCGATGCTTTTAAGCTCTCAAACTGTCAGGTTCGCTCAGTTCCAGTCTTCACTCCATCACTCCAGAGTCTCACTATCAACAAACATGCCAAACATGATGTGGAGTCCTGCTTTTCTGTGTGACCAGGAGAATGCTCAAAGAGCTGAAGTTTTCTCTCTCCATGCCAATGTCTCCAGGGTTAAAGAAGTGGGAAAGTAAATCACAGAGCACTAATCTTAGATGGTTAATCACTTTGCTGATTCTAGCTGTCAAGACATCCAGCCCCAGCTTAGAAATGATGAAATTTGAATAACTGTGACATAAACAAATCTTAAGATCTAGTGACTTACACACTATAGGTTTTATTAGTATGTGTCTGTTGAAGCAATGAAGGAATGCTGACACAGAGAATTAAAGACTGTAAGAGCAGAATGAGAAATTAGGGACATCTAGCTCAACCTATTCATTGTAGAGAGAAAATGGATGACACACAGTGAAGTGAAATGCCTTGTTCTAAGTCACATGGCTTATTAGGAACAAGTCAGGACAAAAGCCTAGGCTTTCTGACTCCTCCTCCAGGGTAACTTCAACCAAAAGATGATGGTTTTACAATTGAAAAAGCAAATATACTATTATCATCAAATCTCTATGTCGAATGAAATGTCAGGGATAACTCCTTACTTTAGAAGGAGCTGACAGTTAGTCAACCTATGCTTTTGAAGTACCTACATAATCAAAAGAAAGTTCTTGCCTTCATGGAACTTATAAGCCACAATAACTGCTTGTTATGTGAACAAAATAGTGTTACAATTTTGTCTTGATATTTATTTCTCTTTTTACCACCCTGTAACTTATTTATAATTATATTACTGCACTTACCACAAGGTATTGCCTGTCATATACCTGTTCCTGCAAACCTTGAAGAATGAGACATTTTTGGTTCATATTTGCACCCTGGAACCTAGCATAGTACAATAGCCACTGTCTTCAAAATATCATTAAAGAATAACCAAAAGCAAAGGGCTGTGTGTACAAAGAACAATAAAAGTGGTACATCTGTTTCTCAGATAGTAAGTTGCGATGTAATGGTAAGTAACCTATAGAAGCAGGTACAAGTCAGTGGGGGAAGCTTTGAATGCTGCCAGTGTAATTTGAATTTGGTAGGCAATTAGGTACAACAAGCTCTAGGCTCTGAAGTTGAGAGTGAAGTGACTTTAAAAAATGTTGGTCAATGAAGATTACACCAGAAGCCTTTTCTCAGGACAGGGAAGAATAGGGAGGTGCTGAAGATAGGACAATATCTACCTATGAGAAAGGGAAGCCCAGAAGAGCTTCATGGTTGTGAAAAGCAAGACCTTCGAAGTAGGAGTGAGTGAGACTGAGAATAACGAAAGAGTGATCTGTGACTAATTACCCCCATTGCTGAGGAATAGGAGTTCTGTAATAGCACTTTTCACTTTAATTCATTCATCTTTTAGTCTTTTCAGTGAAATTAAGTCAGTATAGTTTTTATCACATCACAGATGAGAGAGGACAGATTTCATTATTATCTTAAATATTTTTTCCTAATCAAAATTTAAATTTATATTTTGCCATGTTATCTTTTCCTTCCTAACTTAACAATAGTAAGTTCTATAGCTTTCAGGAATATCTCCTCCACCAAAGATGGCAATAATTTCTCATGATTTTGATTCTTTAATTTATACTGAAGCCACATTTTGATTGTATGAGGCTGTCAGACACTCTGACATCCAAAAATGATGACTTAAGTCTTGGATTGTTTTCCCTGGTAATCAATTGCAAACATGTTCTTGTCAA